AAGTAGCTTAGTGTTGCTTTTCTGCACAGCTGCTACCATGCTCAACAAAGCAGACAAATCCTCCAGCTTAGCGATTTGAAGACACTTTTCAGTTTTTTGACGATTTTCAAGAATCAACTGTTTTTGCATCAATCTGCATCAATGATGCAGTTTTTGCATCATTGCTTATGGGCATTGGCTGTGTGTGTTTTTTGGAAAAGACGTTGACGAACCCATCAGTTGATGAAAGCAACCCATCCTTCCCCATTTCATCCACATGAACAAAAACATGAAATATGTCAAGATCAAACCTAAGAAACAATAAAGGTATTCCTTGCATACTGGATAGACAGGCATCTTATGAGTGATTGGCAAGTTAATTAGCCCTGTCAGGGGTATTAAACAAACGCTATGAAGTAGTAATAAACCATATATTAACTGTTTTCTCCTGTCTCCTGGCAATGCCAATAATATAAGCCCTTGGCCTTTGTGCAAAGCTCGGTTTCGTACCGACGGCTTCAGGTCCGGTCTTCGGAAACAATTATTTTAGGTTTAATTAAGAAAATTAAAAGAATAATAATGAAAAACTGTGGATGACGAAGGAGCAGCTTTTTTCTCCGTTATAAGAAAGTGTCACGCAAAATCATGCCTGGTGTCAAATTGCGATAATGCCAAATTGTGCCTAGCAAATTCAGAGTCAGCTCACTGGTCGACGGCCATTTTGAAAGTGATGACGTCATCATTGAAAATTGCTGACATCGTTAAAATACTGATGTGTATATATCATTGGGAAGCCTTTCTTCAGGCGAGCCCGAATCTAGTATTTATATTGAAGTCAGACGTATACTTAAGACGTTACAATGGTTTCGAGTCTAGGAAACATAGCCTTGTTGACGTCATCGGTAACGTAACTTTGATGAATTTTTGAAAATGCTGTAAGGGCTTAAATAATTCGTTATACCATATTGTTCCATAATCAGCCGAGAAAACAAAGGCTAGGCAATGCGGTCGATGGTTGAGAGGAATGCCCTGCCTAATTTGTTGGGTAGCAATTATTAACGGCTCTTTAGCAACACCTTTTTATATATTGCCCACATGGATAAATAAGACAATAAGGTTTAATTTTTTGTAATTTGCGTGACTCCGGTCGTGTCTTTTGCCCTTTAGTAGCCGTTATATTTCTTTTCAACTGTTGCTTGCTTTAAAGCCAACAGCATCTGAAGTTTTGTTTAATTGGTGGTGTTGATGCTTAGAAATTCCAAGGTATTAAAAGTTTAGGTGCGTTTTAGATGCGTAAAGGGTTTCTGAATTAGGCCAAGATGCAAGACGATTTTAGCTTAGTTGTTTCTAAGGTTTCTATATGTTTTGCCTCTCGTTTACTGGAACGATATAGGGTTTCTAGCCTTAAGTGGGGTACATTAGCATGGATATTTGTTTTTAGTTCCATTTTATGAGCAAAGTTATTTTGTAAGCGCCCTTGAAAAGACAATTGGGTGCTTAAGCCTTAACACTATAATTGTGCTTTTAACTCATTCTTCGTGTTATGCTCCTTGGCTAAGAATGCGAACTTGAAGGAATTAAAATTTGCAAACATTTCTTGTTGATGCCGTTTCATATGCCACCGCTCCTGGTTCCTGGATATCTTAAAAGTTTTTATTTTACCACGCAGTGATAATAAAATTTTATAGTGATAAATCGCAATGGAGCATATACTTGAATCTTCTGTAACGATAAAGCAAAGAAGAATAATATTCTGAAGTACTTTATGATATGAGAATTGATTTCTAACAGTCTGTTAAATTTTGTTGTGTAATTTCCATAAGAAAATTTTACCTTTTTGGTGTTTTCTTTGTCTCTTGGAAAATCAAATCTATTCATTAGCGGAAGAGTATCAGCTTTCAAAGCTTAGCTGAGAGATGTTTTCGAAATTTTCATTTAAGATTGTATCTCGTCAGAGAAGGCAATATTTTGTTTGAAGTCTTTTTTCTATCAATAAAGGAGCGTTTATAACTATGATTTTTCGGTTTCATCATTTGTTTACCTTTTTGATAATTTTTTTTGACATTTTAATTCATTGTATTGTTTGAATTTGATATAATGCTTTCGAAGTTTGTTGTTATGTGATCTTAGCTGTTTTTCAGTTGGGCCCTTCGGGCACTTGTGCGGATGCGCAATAGCTGATCTGGTGAATGAACTACTGCACAAAACTGAGACATTGTTTTCATGAAAGCTTGATGTTTTAATTCAAAACACTTCAGTATTCAAGTTTTTCCTCTGTGTGTGGAGACATTTGGTTATGAGGGGAAACTACCCGCGGTGTTTTGGTCAAATGTCCTCTGTGTGTGGAGGCACTTGTGTGTAGTATTAGCCAGACAAGATTCGTTAATCTGTCCAATTTCGGCATTGATTAAATATTTATGCCTAAGGGGTTCTTCATCAGGTCCTTTGTTTATTTGTAAAGATACAAAACCATTAACAAAGGCTAGATTGAACGATATTTTATAATCAACCTTATTGGCCCCCTGGGGTACCTGGACATTTTAACTAATCGCAGCTTTAGAGTAGGGAGTGGCGATAATTGCTGCAACCCTTGGTTTTAACGGAACGTTAAATAAAAGCTATGGGGCGTTGGTCTAGTGAAGCGTACAAGTTTATATTGGAATTTCTCATCAAAGACTAGTGTTAGCTTCTAAATATCTTGGTTCTTCTAAATATTTCTATATTGTTATTATCTTTCTATATCAAATTTGACCATATTCTTTTCATTTTAGAACCCATTCGTTGTTGTTGTGAAGAAGATACAGATGACTGCATGCGCGATGATTTATTAATTTTATTTATACATATCTTTTTACTTCATAGTGTATCTCGACTACAGTGTATCTCGTCGTGCGCTTGCTCGGCTGCGCTATAGTCGCTCTAGGGCATGAACTACTTAAAAAACTGAGACATTGTTCTCATGGAAGCTTGGTGTTCTTCTCCAGTGTCCTCTGTGTGTGGAGGCACTTGGTTATGAGGGGAAACGTACCCTCGGTGTTGTTTTTCCAGTGTCCTCTGTGTGTGGAGGCACTTGGTTATGAAGGGAAACGTACCCTCGGTGTTACTGACAGTGTCCTCTTTGTGTGAGGCACTTGGTTATGGAACACAAGACCCTTGGTGCTATTGGCAAGTGTCCTTTGTGTGTCGAGGCACTCAATTTTGAACGACGAGAACCTTGGTGTTATTGGTGTTAAGTCTCCAAGCAGATGCATCTTCATCAGAATCAAAGTTCGAAGATACCGATTGTGTTACTGTTATTCTTCTCTTCTTTGCTGACTTCACTGGTGGGTTTTTTTTTTAAAACCTTTCATTCTTTTCTAGTTAAATGATTGTTTTGCATCAAGTTATGTTTAGGAAGACTATGAGGAATTGAGAGCTGTAACAATACTAAGGTGTTGCTGTAAGGTGGTGCTCTCTCCCGGTCCTTTTCTCTGTTCTTATGTTCCGTTTGCGTTTTTTGTTAGTGGGTTGGGGGAGCTTCGCACGTGGCGGAAGAAGGCCATTGTTCTTCTTCTCAACCCCCTCAAAAACGGTTGGGGTTTTATTTATGGGCGTCTTTGCGATTGGCGCACCGACAGCCCAAAAATAAATGGTTCAAATGATGAGAGAACACCACCTTCAGTCTTATGATTGACAATGGTAAAACATTCTGAGGACCATCTTACCCTTATTTGCTAATGGTTTTTGTTTAGTAACCTGGAACAAATATTAACGTTAATTTTGCTAACATTGTGTGAAGAAAAATACATAAAAAAGCGACAATGAAAGCTTCTCAAGAAACCGGGAAAAAATGGTTTATAGAAAACCCAGTGGATCAGGTTGGGCAATGCTACTCAACTGATGATCTTCTTCGCTTATTTCCAACCCCAAATGTAATCTCGAGCAGCTTCCTTCGCTAATGTCAGGAAATTTAAATAGTAAAGTACTTCAGAGTTCCGTATCAGGGCCCTATCTCTTGTGTTCACCAACGATATTGTTGTAAAAAGTCTACACTTTTCGCCAATTTTGATAATATCGTGTTAGAATGGCCAATTAATTGAATTTGAGCCAACAGAAATCAGTTCGTCATGATTCCATAGAAGATCAGGCAATGTATATTTATAATCTCTGGGTTTTTCTTTTGGTATATCATAACCTTTCTTTTTCTGAATAAATGTCGTGTATAAATAAGATTGAAAAAACAGGGCCTTTGGAAAAAGTCGCATGTGGGTCTGGTAACGGAAAAACGTGATGGAAAACTGTTGGTGATTTTGACTAATGAAGAATAAATTCGCTTGCATGCTCTCTGTGAAGTTTATACGTCAATAAACTTCTTCTGGGGTAAACTTCTTCACAATTTCATGAAAAATATATTTTGATGTATATTTTCTCAAGTCTATAGAATTGCAAGATCTTATCTAGAGAGACAAACTGCCACACATGTTCCACTGCTTGAAACGGCTCACTTAGTTAACTCTTTCTTGTACTGTTTCCAAAATAACTAGCACACCGTCTCTACAAGCCCAACCTAAGCTAACACAGTTTCCACTTGGTTGAACGCATTGACATAATATCTTCCTTGCTTACGATTTTTGCATTAAAAAATTCCCGATAAATTTTCTACCTAATTTACTTTTATAGTATACATAAAAATCAATCCAGATTTTTACCATTGGTTAGGAAGGTCACACCCCCCTAACTATCACACCCCGAATCAGTCCGTTTTAGGGCAACCACTAGCTTGCTTGCCTGGTGGAAAACCTCTAGGTGTTCACTGGCTCTCTCCTAAAAAAAAGTTTAGCGGCGGTCATGATAAGATTTTTACCCATGAAAAATTAGCCTGTGCTCCAGAACCCCTAACCTTGGAAGTCGCGCGGGCTTGAAGGTCTGGAACATAATATTTTCCTGTGCTTACTTTTTCTTTCTAGGGCCAGATATACAAGATTACGACATGAATATTAAAGATGTTCCAAAGAAAGATTAACGATCAAATGCTACGAACATATACCAAAAACAATTCGATGTAAAAATACTTTATCACAGCATTAAAAAAATTACAGATACCAAGATTTTTAGGTGCATTGAGATTACAATGTATAACGAGTTTTTAAATCGAACTTTCTTGGCGATGTCGCGAATGAAAAAGCTGCTCTTCGAGGTTTGATGTATTTAGATTCAGTCGATATCTCGTAGGAGCCTGGACCAGGCACAGATTCTGCAAAACATTATAACATTGATAATATACTCAGAGATGTGGCATGTGAAAGGTTGCTGGGGCAATATGATCATGGCTACTTCAGTGTACTGTGCTTATTTTGAAGAAAACTGGCACTCTGTCACAAGTATTCTTATTTTATCAATGCGAAATCGATTCGTTCTGACATAAATTGTTGCGAGGAAACACGAATACTATCTGGTATCGGATACGCTAAACCATTAAATTTTGTTTGTTTATGCTACATTTATATGAATACTTTGGTTTGTGGATCATGAAACTTGTTCATGTTTCATATGAAAATCCTGGTTCAATAAGTACCAGGAAAATGGAAAATTAAACATTGATATGGTTTTGCAGGCAGCATAACAAGTAAAATTAAATTTTATTACCCTGAGCACCCTTTTCTGAAATTGTAGCAGCTATGCAGCCACGAGGACAACAAAAATATTGCTTTTTCATTTAGCTAAGAGATGAAAAAATAAGCAGTCAATTTCTACCTCGTTTTCTCCATAAAACTGTGCCTTTCTTTCTACCTTCCCGTATGGTAAATGCCACATTCTTATTCATGGTATGATCCTTACTTTTACCAAAGTTATAAGCATTTGGTGATGGTTCGTTTTCGAGCCCTTTTTTAAAAACACGAACAGAATCAGTCAAAAAAACAATATAAAGCCGATTCAAGTTTTCAATTTAAATCGTGTTTTACTAATACGTTAAAACGTAATTTAATACGTTTTACTAAAAACATATCCAAATGATATACTGAATCAAAATTAAGCATGAATTATTGTAATTCTAATTATCAAGAAATTGTGAAAATAATGAAACTAAAGAGGATTTCCAGAACGGCAACAAAGAGGCAACATTCTTGCATTTCTATTTAAACATTATACTTCAATCATGTGTTTTTAATTATGGTTTCTAAACAAAATAAAGGTACCAAGTTACCTATGTATAACTTGTCGTAGAACATACCAATAACCGAAAACATCATTTCAAAATTTTTAAACCAATTGAATTGAACGACTGTTCCATTATAAGATTTATAAGTTCAGTGAGACATCCAAGTATTAGAAAATCAGTTTGATGTAATCAATAGACAGAAATTAATTAACATTTCGAGTCTAGCTAGAGTCATCTTCAGTAAAGTAATAAAACAAGCAACAATTTACTTTACGTATGGAAGGAAAAAATGACACAGATACTCTCTTTGTCGCTGTACTGATTATCTTCTTTGTTATCAAGCTGCGTTTTCCAAGATCAGAAAAGGAAACTTAGGCCCACCAATTTATGAACAAGACACCTCAATAACCTTTTGTTTGTTATTTTTATCGTGTTTATCAAATAAATATTTGCGAAATACTTCAACTCTACAAATTTGAAGACTCAAGCTAAACATTTAAGAGAAATTGATTCAAATTTCAGATTCTGAATGCAGACATCTACTTTGTCGTTCTATTACTATGGAACAGATTGTTGAACAAAAGAACTGATAAATCAAACAAGATTACCAAACCCAGATTCACTAGACATTCAATACATGTATTTAATTCCGAGCTAGTAGATGGAGACCCAAGACGACTGTAAATTTAGTACAATATCAATGCCTACCTTTCCGAGTTAAAGAAAACGCCGATCTTTTCCCAAAGCTAAACGATGGGGCATGGTTATAAGAAGTGCTTGAATGTCCAACAGCAGCAGGAATATCGTAATGAGCTGGAGATGGCCATTTAATCTAAGAGAAAATATCGAAAGAATTAAAAAATGTTTATCGATCATCTTTTGAGCCATTCGTAGCTTAAATGTTTTGTTGAACTATTGAGCACTATTTTTGAAAAATGGATGAAAGCGACCAGATTTCCTTCTAAAAAAGAGAAACAAAATATCTGTGAGCTAAAAAATTGAAGACACCGAAGCACTGAAAATCATATAAAAGAAACCATTGCCAAAGAGCCGTGCTGTTCCAAAGACAGCAACTATCATTGAAACAAAATTTTGCAAATTTGTAAATACTATTGCAAATTTGTAAAAATTAGGTGTATACTCTTTTTTTAAATGAAACTGGCTATAACGAGTACTGGACAGTGAGAAAAAATTAGGAAACTTCAGTAATCGAAACAAAAATATTAAGAAACTATTCAATCGTGATAAAACTTAGAACAACAAAATTTTGTAAAATTCAAGAATATGATTGCCCTGATGCCTAAAACTTAAGACACCAGGGATAAAAATATATATCCCATATCTAAATACAGCATCAGAACGGAAGCAAATCTCTTGATGTGATAAAAAGGTCACGAATATTTCATAACATCATTCATGACATGTTAATTAAGAAACTCTTTGGAAACAATAAGTATCGAAATTTCCAGAACTTTCAGAAATTGGAGTACTGAACATCAACCTTTGTTTCTTATAAGAAATTAGTTTACTTTTGCAGAATTTGGCAGGCAGTTTATATTCTGTCCCCGTGCAACAAAATGAAGGGGAGACGAAACGTTATTTGAGTCAATCATTGTCCATTTCAATTTTCTACGATTGTGGTAACATTATTATTATGGCCTACATGCTTAAATAGCAGTGGTGTGTGTAGCTTTTCCATGAAAACAAATGATTCTGTCATGATACTTAATGCAGTTATTGATAAAAATCATCGTAAGATGTCTTAACATTGGACATGAAATAGAAATAATTGGTATAAATGCCCGAGGCAGCAGTAACTGTATTGGGATCTGTATATGTTTGCATTTAAACTGATAATATTTGGCATTCATTTCTCGTTTCAATCATTAAATCTTCTTTATATAAAAATTTCAAGAACACTGAACGAAATCATATAAGGCATCGATAAATAATGATACAAATTAACATAAGAAATAAAGCCTTATCAAATATCTTGAAAACAGCCTTTAAAAATTGTTGTCCTTTGTTGTCTCCTAACATACTTGACAACTCAAAACTTTGCATGCAACACAGTTACAACAGCAGCACTCTGAAGTTTTGAAAGGTGAGGAAAATTGTACAACATGTTATTTTATCGGGTATGGAGGGTCACTGAATACTGACAAGGGAAAGTTCCGGTCTCCAATCTAATGTATAATCAACTAACTTAGCTTAAAGAAATACATACCCTTGGATCATAATCAGCTTTTTGAAGCCATACATAATTATGGGAAAACCACTCTTTTCCCCAAGCTGTGCGGTCACCTCCGTCTGAAACCAAGAAAGTGATGAAAGGAGTATTTTCCATCCAATGACATGAAATAGCAGTTCAAATAAGCCTGTACAGTTAGAGGGTGATAAAACATATCCTCGCGACCAACATTACAGAAGCAACAACAACAACTGTGGAAGGCCACAACGAAATGTTTTGTCTAATTTGGCTGCTAACAAACAGAAGGCTTAGAAAAATGGCAATATGTATTTTATAAGGAAGAAAAGAATGACATTAGTAGACATATACATTTTAAAAGTAGCGAAACAGATGCCTCAATGATATTTCTGCAGCAAATTGATTTATTGCAACTTCGTTGCACACTGACGTTGCACATTGCCAGAAACACGCGACAAACTAAATAAAATCTATGAAAAACAAACCAATGTTTAATCCAAGCATCATTTCGGTGAAAAGACATTACAAATTGCAAGCAAAAAGGCATCTTGATGTGAAGCTCCCATTGAGTTTAAATGCGTTACTGGCGTTTTTCGTGAGAAAAAAACTGAAAAAAACACACCGCAATATATTGCGTGTGGAAGCTAAAATGTGAATAGTAGGACTACATCTTGTAGACAGATTTTTGACAGCACCATGTTCGCAAACTGACTCATCGCAAGCTGTTAAGGTAATTTTATTTCCAAGAAACGCAACATTGTAAATTCAAGAACAAGGCAAGATGTTTGGACGCTGCTTTATGTTTGGATAACTCTGCAAGTTTAAGTGTTCATACATATCTTGATTATTGATTACTTGTTTGCCATATCCTATCCAAAATGTGTCCCTAATAACTGCTTTGCACAGAATAGTTACACCAAAACAGCTTAATCCTGTATTATGCTCTGATGCTCACGCGATAAATAGAGCATGGAAAGGTACATCGCAAAAGACATTCCTGAAGGGAACTGCAAAAGAGATCTTGACACCTGTTCCTCTCATTTAAATTACGATACTATGACCTTATTCTTGAACTTAAATGTCCTACTTTTTCTTTTTACAAAAGAGCAGTGACCGGACAAATATTGCAAGAATTGATAAATATAGACAGGTTTGAGTCCTAGCTTACTTTTAGAAAAGAATACTCCTGATCTAGAAATACAGAGTTCATTCTGGACACAATTAAACAGAGCCGCGCAAAATCAGCAGTTGGTATACATGAACCTAAACAACTGGGATACTCGCATAACACTGTATTAAGTCACATCGGGTTTGGTGTATATAATTTATACAAATCTAGGGGCAATTTCTGTCACACATCAAACTAAGTGTATTTTTTACATGGCGGCATTCAGAACAAGGACCATTATGTTTTCTCTACCACAAAAAAGCAAGTTTGTATTTCATGTGGTTTGTCAAACCGTTCTAAAGATGAAATAATTACAGCAATTGTGTATGGCAGCACAAGGCTACGGGCTGTATCCAACTAAACAACAAAAGAAAAAGAAAATTTAAAAGTTCATCCAATCATCAAAGAGATTCCTCTCTCAGAAATGTCCCCCCATCCCTTTTTCTGTTACTAGTTCGTTCGTTTCACTGACTACTATCTTTAGTTTATGATGTAATCTTCGAGTAGATATGACCTTATGGTTGCAATGGATTCTTAGGCATCCTTTGAAGTCGCTGGCTAAAAAGTGCTTACTGTTATTGCAAAAGTTCAGATTGACATGAAAATGAACCTAATTTGATTACAGCAAGAAGTGCAACCAAAACAAATGGGCTCAGCAGTAGTAGCGGTGAAGGGCCTGCCAGATGATAGAGTTGCCGTGGCCATCACATTGCAAAGTCGATCACAACCTGCAACACGTGATTCCTTAAAGGTGAACTGACACGCATTTAATATTCAACACAGTTTTCGAGTTATTGAGCGTCAAAGTTAGCCACCGAACATTTTCCGAGCACGGACGAGTTTGCCCGAGCCTTCCGCATAATCGTGACGTCACAAACACCATGTTCACATCACTTGAGCAACACGACAGTGTGGAAGGCCCTACTTTTATGACTTTGCAGATGAGCATCGATACATTAATTGAGTAGGTTTTGGCTCCATTTCGACAACCTAATTGGAAAACATATTATGACTCCATTACAAACCTTTCATAGTAAGGTTTGCAAGAATATCGTATTATTCAACGCGTTTGAGGCCCTTTCTCCGTCTTGCAGGACCCAGCGTGTGGCGCGCCAACATATCGTATAATGTTAGCGATAAATATATTGACAGGATTTTTATTTTCTGGAAACCTAAGTAAAATACTTTTATTTTGTTAAATACGGCTGCTGTTAGACTAATTTATCAGCAGCCCCCCCCCCAAGTTAATTTCGGTCTTTGATCCTGGCTATCTTCAAATACGCAGTAAAGATTTAGTAAATATTTTGAATTTAAGTCACTCATTTTCATTTTTTTTATTCAATCACTTGCAAAATTTTCAGGGGTTAAGAACCTGGTACGATCGAGTCGCTATTTGCAGAAAAACAACTTAGTAAAATTTTCAACTCCCAGGCCGCTGCACTCCTATAACTCGGGTGAACCGATGAGTTTGCAAACCCAAAATAAAATAACGTTCATGATTTATATGGATGTAGAAATAATCTATCGAAGTAATAATATATTGAATTTATTCGAAAAAGAAGCTAGATTCATGATAAAATGATAAGATTCTTACATTCGTCCGCATGATTGACTTCAGAATTGAGAATTTCTTCGAGCAGCTAAGCCTATTCCTTCCAAACTTAAATTCCCTCCTAACATAACGCAGTACCAGCCAGCACATATCCTTCCTATATTTCATAAGCATCGAATTTTAATTATCTTGGATCAAAGGCTACGTAGATTTTCTCGAATAGTAACTGAACAAGATGAACTGAACTGTCCAGTCCGTGCGTGTTTTCCATTCAAGGGATAAAAACATGGTGTTTGTGACGTCACACGCACTGGGTCACATGAAATGCCGACAATGGTCGAACACTCGACGATAATTTCATGACATTTAGAGCGGAATTGCGTCAAAACGGACAATAATAATTAACCGAAAACTTGAAATTAAGATTCCATGCATCGCTTTCTACATTATATCAAAAAATAGTTTTGCGTGTCAGTTCACCTTTAAACTAAAGATAAGCATCCACAAAATTAATTCTTTTAACTTTTCTATTTCAGCTTTATAGAGGAGTGCTGGCTCACCTCTGTTTGTTTGTGTCTTGGGCCTCATTGTGAATGATGGGAAAGAGGTCATTTCAGGTTTATCCCTTGGCGTTTCATAGCTATAAATAGTTGGTCCGGTCAAATCGGTATTCAGGGGTGGCCGGTATTCAAGACATTCTTTCAAGCCTAGGAAAACACAAACATAGAATTGATGGAACCTGGTAAAAAGCATATAACAAAAAGGCATTTCATACACTGCTACGTTATACCCTGTGAATAAACAACTAAGTCAACATTTTTATATCAGTTAGACAATTTTCTTAAATATCACATTTTTGTTCAGTTCCTATTTCGTTTCATTTTGATTCTTTTCCAAAAATCTTAAATTCGTTATCTTCAAAATGATACGCTTTGAAAAATTGGGCTCCCCGTTTTTGTGCTTGAGGAAAGTTTACTTCATTTGAAATTCTTAACAAATCAAAAACGAACCAAAATGAATACAGGTAAATATTAACCACTGTTTCCCTACATTTCACATTTCTTTATTCAACTTTCAGTGGATAAGCATTAAAAATTACATCCTTTACAGCAAAAATAACTATTCAAATAGTCGATTAAATGATGATACATAATATTATCTTTGAAACTCAATTTATAGAGCACTTAACATTCCAATAAAGAAAGAGTGCAGGGTCTATTGTAAAGATCGTACCTGGTAACGAGACAGCAACCCTCTCTTGATTATGACTGCTTGCCTGGATTCTCTTTCTTCGACTATAATATAACAAATGAAAATCCGTGATAAAAATAAAAGCAAATCTACTAAACAAGAAGTTTCTTATCAATTCAGAATTACTTTCAAGATATAAGTAAAAGCTCTTCAATTTTTTTCGGTTTAAATATTTCAAAAGGGGTTCTTCTAAGTTCTTGAATATCCAAATGGGTTTTGGTCTAAAACATGTATCATGATAGTGTTTAGCCAAGCAATCTTCAGTATTATCAAGTGCTACAGAAATTTTGGTATTTTAAGATTAAAGAACAAACAAATAAGAAAATGTAAAGGATATTTCAGTAAAATTACATAAGAGATTAAGGCTTCAGCTTTAATTGGTGGATCTTCAATTTCATTCGACATTACCTATTTTAGTCATACATTATCTCGTTGTATAATTTTGGTCCTGGTCTATCACATTATGTTCTGTCGATGTGTAAGTACTAGTTTACCTGTTTGCATTCATTTGTAAGTCGAATGGTGCTTATGTCAAAGACATGTTGCTGGTCCCGACTTACCTTAAACGCAATCGACAGATACTAAAGAGGCTTAAACCTTCTTTCATAAATAACTGACAAGTCAGTAAGTGGGATTCCTATTACACGCTTTTTGATTGGCTAATATTGATTGACATATGGCTTAAGCCACCTTTTTATCTGTCGGTTGTCTTTAAAATCGAGCATTTTCGGACGACCAAATCTAAGGGCAAAAATTATCGGAAACTTTAGTTGTTAAAAATTTGGTTTTTGTCCGAAATAGAAAATAGAAAAACATAAAGAAAAGTGGAACCTTTATAAAGAAAATCAAATTTTGAAACAGTTCTTGAAATACCTTGTCGGGTCACCCAACATCGTAAATTTCGAAGATGGACGAAATTTGACTGAGGTCAAAAATATTGGCTGCCGACGTCCAACAATTCTATTGTTTTTAAGCGTTAAGTGAAACGTTGGATCGTTTGACCACATCAGGCAACATTGTAGGCTCTGTGCACGCGCATTTGGATAAGAAGAGCGCCAAAATTCAATCATCGCATCGTTGTTGTTTTCTTGAGGTGGTTTCGTTCGTTTCAACAATCGCATTTGCTTAAAATCATTTACACTTTAATTATGGACAAAATAACGAAATATAACGTATTCTGTGCAAAAGAAGAGGCATCAAGCGTCAATGAAGAAACTGTAGCACAAAGGAGCTGCAAGAAAGTGCAGGGGGACGAATTTAGGCCACAGCCTTGATAGGGGATGCGACGCTCGTCCTGAGAGGCCGCGATGACAGTGAAAATATTTGAAGAGAAAACAAAAAGAGAAGGCAGCGATTGCCTTTCGTTTTTTTTAATTCAAAATGTCGCGAAACTGTGCAGCCTTCAGCGCGAACTTCTACCCAGTTCTTTTTCGATCTGCGCGCGAAAATGTTGGGTGAAATGTTGGGTGTAATGTTGGATCTTTGACCAGGGCTTTAGCTTTCCCTATTGCCTTTAGTTTTGTCCTGTTGTCGGGTACTTTTGTTACTATATAGCTACAAAAAGTTTTTGTTATATAGTTAGTTAGAGGTGCCCGCGATTAATGCCCGAAAATGCTTCTGAATGTTTTTTTGAAGAATGAAAGTCACTGGCCCCTCGCATAGATAGATCAACTTTGTGACAGGCTAATGGTCCCTTATAGGACCAAAAAGGAACAAAAATTTGCGCTATTTTTGATTGGTATCAGGATATAAATTTCTGCTTCCCTTTTTTGGTCATCAAGTTACATTTTTCGTGACATTAGTCGTGTCCAATAAAAAAGTATTTTCTGTGCTACCAATTTAATCATATTTTGTAAGTGACTTTGAAGATAATACAATGGGCACTAATTCGTCTGATTCCAGGTGACTGTAGACCAAACATGTCCTAGTGCAGCATTCACTAATTTTTTGCCAAGGGAGCTCTTTCTTGCGTATTATAATGATAACCCATAAGTACTCACTTTTTAATCACTGTTACAGTAGAAACCTTCATGCTTTTTGGAGGTAAATGATTCTTCAAATGCGGTGGTCCTTTTGTGCGTTCTATAGGCATGAAGTTATTTGGAGCCAGATTAATACCCTTTGCTCCATGATGTGGCAGAGTCGGGATGACATTACTCATTTTGACGACAGTTAGATATCTAGCAATCAGTTCAGTACTGCAGTTACTGCCTCACCCAACATCCGATTTTCTAAGAACAAGAAACTGGGTAGGCATATCATACGAATGCGTCCGTGAGGTCAACAGATGAATTTGGTAATATTTCGATGATAGCTAGAATGAAAATAAAAATCATCAACACTTAACTTTACCAAATTATGGGAATTACATGATTCATACTCAATAATATGATATCCTATATACAGCTCAGGGGCGTAGCGTGTGGTTAAGGTGTGGGGTGTTACACCCCCCCCCCCTAACTTCCAGAGAACTCGTAGGTGGAATTACATTTGTAACAAAATAATTTGATGCCAAATGAAACAAAATAATTTCTGTCGGTAAAATATGGTTTTGCAATTCTTACACCCTCCCCCCTACCCAGCGAGAAAGGTCACGCTATGCCACTGATACAGCCAGATAATAAATGAACCAGTTAGTTCATCTTTTTCAAATGATTGGCGGCAGAATCGCTGATTCAAGTTAATAACTGTAAGACAAAGAGCAAGGAGCCTTTCCTTCAGGCATTCTTGGTACAGAAATAATAATTGATCAATGTCATCGTGATTCTGCTTGATCTATTTTGATTCACAACTTGGCATTCTTAGATCAATGTTTTCTATCGTCAGCCGTATGTTTTATTATTAGGGTTCTGTCATTAATAACGCTGGGTAATGGGGCGGGTTAGAATTGGTGGGAGCATGAAAATTATTAAAAGGAAAAATGAAATATTTTTAGGAATTTTTGCGGGGGTATGAAATTTTCAAAAGTTAATTCGGCAAAAAATCGATTCAGCCAGTGGCGTCGCCATGGGGTGGACTGGGGTGGACATGTCCACCCCAGTTTTCCCAAAAGTCGACCTTCTAATTTTTCGAAAAAAGTTGGGCTGATCAGATCGATTTCGATTTTCACGCTGGCAAAAAAGCCACCGTTACGAAAAATGCTGCTTGAGAAAGTTGCTTGTCCAAAAATTTCAAAGTGGATAAGAAATACCAGAAAAGGATTTTCCAAGAGTCTGGGGGGCGTGGCCGAGAAATTTTTTTTGTCCACCTTAGTTTTTTCGAGCTGGCGGCGCCACTGAATTCAATGAGATGCAAGAGTTATTAACCACAATATCTTAGGAGATGTCACATCTTCATTCATATCATAAATAGAAAGCTGTAACTTTCCACTGTTTTGCGTTTCTATAGTGCATTGTCACACGGGAACGGAACGATTGCGTACCGTTCCACTTTTCGTATCACTTAGGCCCCGTTCACACGGGAACGCAATCGTTCCGTTCCGTTCGTCTCCGTTCCGAAAAGTGTAACGTTCAGGGGTTGTGTTCACACGGGAACGCTTCAAATGACATCGTTCTGTTCCAAAAAGTGGAACGATAGTTGTGACTTTCTCCATTGCAGATGCGATGTAGACGTCCAATCATATTTGCGTAGAAATTGAGAACATCAAATGATCTTTTCAGAGGCCATTATTTATACTCTTTTGCTTGACTTGGCAGCATTGGCTGTTTGTTATCCTCCTGATAGCTTTTTCATCAGAAGGGGAAGAAAAGTACTCTTCAGCTCCAAACTGATTTAATTTGTAAGACATATCATTAAAAAAGTTTATCAATGATGGGAACTAAATCATCTATTATGGGGGTATAAAAACCAACTCCTTTTTCTTCAATGGGAATACTCACTATCCTGACGTAGAATTGTTCTCCTTACTTTTACCAATTTTAGAAAACAGAAGTTTTTTTGCTGTGACTATCAAGAATCTTTTTTGAAGCAGGGGAGCACCAACACCAATGACTGAGAGTTTTATGGTTATCATCGCAACAGCAAAATTGCTAACATAGATCTGATGCTCGTCCTTACTGCTATAAGAGTTGCTTGGCAATTGGGGTATGAAATATTTTTTAATTTTTCAATGTGGTATCAAAACTCGTAGAGAAAATTTTAAGGAGTGTGAACATTTTTGAAAGATTGAGACATTCCAATCTTTCTCAGTACTCAGAGTTATCAATGACTACCCTTTTAGAAAGAAGAGTGACAAATAAAAGCTTTAGTATGTTTAAAAATTAAAATGTATACCTTTTAAAGGATAAATTTGTTTAAACTTGTTGCTTGGATCTTTAATGTAGTGTCTACTCAAAATAGAAATAATTGGAATGTTTAAAGCTCCCAGCATTTTGTTATTTAAGAAAATATGCTACGTGTTTAATTGTGATCTGTATAAATGATTTTTAAAAATTAAAGATAAAAAAGAAACAACAAAACAAGTATGTTATGTATTTTGGTTTTCTGCAGTTTGAAAATCTGAGCAAAAGCACAACAAGTTTAACTGGATTCCCTCTAAGTACCTGTGGTTAATTTTTTGGCTTAAATTTGTGTTATCAGTCATTCATTGACCATGTTGCTTCAAAATTGGAAACAAGGAAAGCCAATTTTACCTGAAAGAAACGCCAATAACTAACTGTTGGCTATGTAAAGGCAGTTTGCAAATCAAAGGATGACATCCAAAAAAGTATGTTGCCAAAATATTAGTATGTTGCCTCATCAGATTCAGACGAAATGGAAAATTGATCCTGCCAAGATCTGGGGAGCGTGTCCCCCAGTCCCCCACCCCCCTTGGTGCTGCTCCTGCCCTGTATGCATCTGAGCATAAGTCGAATGAAAGGAAGGTTCAGATTTAGCAAAATACAACTGCAAAAAACCCAACCATGGTTCAAGGCCCAACCATAGTTTGCAATTGTCATACCATGGTCGAGGCCTGATCCTGACAAGTCCTAAGATGAATGTATTTCATAGTTGCAATTGTTCTGAGATGTTTTTAGTAATGGCAGACATAGCCCTGATTCAGCATAGATGCCATTGAGAGCAGAATCAGTTAAAAATATAGTAAATAACAAAAAGAGTTATGTTATGAAAAATGACTACAATACAGCAATATAAACTATTTCTTAAAATTCACCTAGGTGTAAGCTTATACTTAACAAATAATTTGCATGAGCTAGGGCAATAGTTTGCCTTTTTTATAGATTAACAATTAACTATAAGGTTTGGAAAAAGTATGGCTAAACAGAAGACTTATGAAAAATGTTCTATAGCCTTTTTGGAAAATTTTATTTCATAATTTTCAAAATCCATTTGTATTTGTTACAACCTTTGTCCTAAAAAAGGTTTTAGCTAATAGGGCTGATGTCTCTCCTCACTCTTAAATGAAATGAAAGTCTGGTCGTGTCAGTGACTCGGACAACAGACCCTTTGATCAGTAATCTGTGATCATAAATACTGAGTTATCCTTGCATTTATTTTCAATTATCAGACCTTATATAAAAAATCTATCCCATTTTATTCCTGCGAATGATTATTTAGGGATGCTTTAAAAATATGGTAAAAACTAAGTTTGAAGCCAATTTTGGCAAGCTCGTCAAAATTTGCTAGTACTTTGAAGATTACAATTAATGATTAAGCAATGTAGTAGCCTTGTTGCATGCAACAGACATAGGAAGCTAGGCTCCCTTTTCCACATTTTCTTTACATAGCTGTGCAAGGACAGGAATGTTACATGGAAGAGACACATGGTGTCATCGATTAAATGAACTTTCAATTAGGTAATATAGAGGCATGGAGAGAGCAATTTGTGGGGTGAAGCTTACTGATAAGAAGATAAATATGCTAGGTTTGGAGAAAGCAGTTGATAAGATGGAAAAAAGGTAATAGAGTAAGATTGTTGGGACACATACTGGATTGAAACCGGTTGGATGATGATGATGATGACGATGATGATGACGATGATGATGATGATGATAATGAGGATGATGATGATAATGATGAAAGCACTGCATAGCTACTGTTGTTAAAATAACGAGGATACCAGCACAAGGATAAGGGAATATGATCTATTACAGCTTTAAAAAAGGGAAAAGTTTTCTTATATAAAGAACCCTTATAAAAACACCAGGCTGAGATTTGGCCAAAAAATAAGAGCAACATAAGAAACAAGGCAGGCTGAGATTGAGCTACACTCAATAAACAAAATATCAGCAGGAAGCAATAAGCAAAATAGCATTGAAACAACAATTGAAAAGCTCACTATTATAAAATCAGTCCTGAGCAAAGGCTTGAGTTAGTTTATCAAGCACCATGTTATCTTCAGAAACTACTGTGCACAGGAAGTTTATTTACAAAAATAAGAAACAAATAAGAAACCTGTGAGGCTGAAATTATGCTTGCATAATTAGGAGACACCAGCTGATAAAGTGTTTCTAAAAAATAATGTGCACCCTAACTAGTGATTTGGTATTACTATATATATTAATAAAATTTCCATATTTTCTTTACCCATCTTAACAAGTAAAACCTGTGTTTGGGATCTCCCAGGGGTTTTCATTCGGGAACAAAGGAACATTGCGACAGATGATACAGGAACACAGGCCTGTGTCATGCATGAACAACTTAGATTTTCAACTTGGAAAATTTTTACTATTTTAAGGGAACAAAGGAACTTTTTTCATTTTTCAACAGGAGCATGAGAACATTGCAGGGCCTCCGACGAAGAGGGGGCTGGGGGGCCTTGGCCTGCCCCCTCTTCTTTCTGTCTTTCATGACAGGGTACTGGAAAACAGAATGCACAGTGTTTTGTCAGCGAGAGAAGCGCATTCTTCTTGCCATATACTTTTTTTTTGCCCTTGACATACAACGCAGCATAGAAACTTCCATCCAGGATCACCGCACGAATAGCTTAGTAGTAATGAACATACTATAATACATAAGCCTATGCCAAATATCTATAATATATAATACAATACCAAAACTACCTACTCAAACCCATATTGCCTTCCAAATTATACTGTTTTAGAGATATGACGGAATCTAAAAAATGAAAATAAACTTCTATTGGTTTCCAACAATACCTGTAGAGAATATCATACATGTATATGAGATTCTGTCCTGTTTTCTCCAATGGATTTTCATACGCCGACCCACTACCTCTGATCACTCTGGTCATTACCGTGGTAACGTCAGTGGTAAACCGACCTCGTTTCAGTACCTCAGCAGGATGCGCATATGCGCAGGACCATTTGTCTTTTTGTCAAGAAAATGAAGGACAATGTCAAGATCAAATACGGGACGGGGAGCTGGGGGACCTCAGCCCCTCCTAGAGTCAGGCAGCTAATTTTTTCGAGCAGGAACCTCCTCCAAAAACGTATAAGAAAAGCTACATTTTGAACATGTTTAAAAGAAGATGATGAAAAGATCAAGTTGTCGTTATCGTGAGCGCTTTTGGAAGTAATGTAATCGTAAGTTTAGTCACGGATCCTCAGTACCTCTACCCTGGGTACCAGGCTCACTATTCTGGTACCCTGGGTACAGTACCTCAGGGGGAATTTTTCAGGCATATATATATATATATATGAGTGCGTAAGCACGAAACTCGGAGTAACGGAGAACATGTCTCATTTCTAGTATATATTCTATTTTATTATATCTATTGCTCTGTGCTTTTGCACATCGAGCACTGTCACGTCAGAATAGACAACGCAATCTGGAATATAT